CAGCACCAATCGGGCCTCGGACGCTTGCGACCACACCCTGCTTCCGTCCAGGTTATCCTACAGATTGCTGGCAGCCACAGCGTCTCGACTCCAGCCTACTACTAGTGCTCAGTGTACATGATGGTAGTCAAGTTTATGATGTTGCCAAACTGACAACTAACTTAGTTAGTTGTCAGTTTGGCAACATCATAAACATGATAACAGCAGGTCGTGAAAAAACTTTCTCCCGATCACGGCAACGCCTTTTCATTCCATTCGCAGCCCTGGGATGATTGGTGGGTGAAAGGGAGCAAAACCCCTTGAACAGTACTACGACTTATAACGAGAGAGCTTGCAAGCTCAGGGCCCTACGCTATGCTTTGTTGCCCAGCTCATCGTGCATGTTGTTAGAACTGATGGATATGTTTTTTCCTTTGATTAGCTACATCATTGTATTGCAAAAACGTTTCAATGAGTTACAGAAGTAACGTCTTCTGCATAGCTACGGACCGGTGTTGACTCTGCCGATCACGGGCGTTCTGGAGTTGACAGGATGTCTGTCCTGACGTTTCCTGGGACCGGCGCTGACTCTGCTCATCACGGGCGTTCTGGAGTCGACGGGATGTCTGTCCTGACGTTTTCTGGGACCGACGGGATCTCTCTTCCAAAGTATGTTTATGCTGACGCATCCTATCACCTATTCGGCGTCTATTCTAATTTAATTTCCTCCTCGTCTCCCTATTTCTTTCCAAATCTCCCTCTACAGCAGGGAGTCGTATACATAATACGACCAATATTGGTACGGTACGGGACAGATACAGGAGCCCGCAAATATTGTGGACAGCTGTTATGCACAATCCTGTAGAGCCTTTGTAGTCACAGATACGGGACAGATACGGGACAGATACGGGATAGCTCCAGGCGTGACACAAACAAACAAACACACAAACAAACACCAAATTAAAGCTGTGTGGACCCTGGCTAGCGCCAGACGTTACTGAAGTAACGTCTTCTGCATAGCTACGGGAATAAATATTGAGACTTCGGAGGTGATTGTAGAAGAAGGTGGCTGCTCCAGGACCAAACGTTTGAGGTAGCGCCTCCTGCCGACTAATGGAACTTGACCATGTTGAGTAACTCACGACTGGCGTCTGGAGCACACGGGAAGAACGCCGGAACCATCCACTCGGCAAAACCAGTTACCTACGCGACTCCATGTGAAACACTGACTCACGCTGCTGCCTGGTGCTCACGACATTAAATGTACATAGTGTTTGTCGCAGTGGAAACGACGCGTCACCAGTGTAAGTAACATAACAGTTAGTTGGTATCTCCTATACTGCAATACTAATAGTACTACAGGTAGAATCCTGATAATTCGAACTTCGAAATGCCAGGAAAAAACTTCTAATTATCCGGACATTCTAAGTATCCAACCATGCACCCACAACACAATTATGTACATGTATGTCAAAATGCTCTCATGGTCACGCAGAGTTGCGCTATGGACCTTAGACACAGATTTCACGGATACTGAACTGACCGGCACAGCCTGCTCATGCAAACTGAACTGACCAGTACAGTGTACAGTGAACTTCGAGTTACACTTTGCTAACTTCGAATTATCAGAACAAATCCCACACATTTTCTATGTAAGTGGAATCCGTGGAACTTCGAATTAACCGGACATGTCTGGTTCGGGGCTCGAATTATCAGAAAAAATTATGTTTTTTAAATTTATTTTTTATCACATTGCACATACCTACGGAAGAAGGGGAGACAAAACGAAGACGAAACAAAAAAACAACAATGGGTGTGTAGGCGCTACATGAGCTGCGCTGGTGAGATGCAGTGGACTCCCCCGACCAAGGGTCTCGGGATCGGCGTACACAGCAAGCACCATGGGAGAGGGGGGGGGGCGAGAGGAATGGCGGAGAGAGAGAGTGAGAGAGTGAGAGAGAGAGAGTGTGAGAGAGAGAGAGAGAGAGAGACAGAGAGAGAGACAGAGAGAGAGACAGAGAGAGAGACAGAGAGAGGGGAGAGAGAGAGAGAGAGAGAGAGAGAGAGAGAGAGAGAGAGAGAGAGAGAGAGAGAGAGAGAGAGAGAGAGAGTGCACAAGAAAGAAGAGAGAGAGAGAGAGAGAGATATAGAGAGAGAAAGAGAGAGAGAGATGGGTAAGTGAGGGAAAGAGAGAGAAAGAGGTGGAGAGATATAAGTATAGAGAGAGAAAGAGTTCTGCGGCATATCGTCGCTATGACTATAATGCTACTTTTAGAAGAGGGTCAGTATAATGATTTGCAAAACCAGTTACCTACGCGACTCCATGTGAAACACTGACTCACGCTGCTGCCTGGTGCTCACGACATTAAATGTACATAGTGTTTGTCGCAGTGGAAACGACGCGTCACCAGTGTAAGTAACATAACAGTTAGTTGGTATCTCCTATACTGCAATACTAATAGTACTACAGGTAGAATCCTGATAATTCGAACTTCGAAATGCCAGGAAAAAACTTCTAATTATCCGGACATTCTAAGTATCCAACCATGCACCCACAACACAATTATGTACATGTATGTCAAAATGCTCTCATGGTCACGCAGAGTTGCGCTATGGACCTTAGACACAGATTTCACGGATACTGAACTGACCGGCACAGCCTGCTCATGCAAACTGAACTGACCAGTACAGTGTACAGTGAACTTCGAGTTACACTTTGCTAACTTCGAATTATCAGAACAAATCCCACACATTTTCTATGTAAGTGGAATCCGTGGAACTTCGAATTAACCGGACATGTCTGGTTCGGGGCTCGAATTATCAGAAAAAAATATGTTTTTTAAATTTATTTTTTATCACATTGCACATACCTACGGAAGAAGGGGAGACAAAACGAAGACGAAACAAAAAAACAACAATGGGTGTGTAGGCGCTACATGAGCTGCGCTGGTGAGATGCAGTGGACTCCCCCGACCAAGGGTCTCGGGATCGGCGTACACAGCAAGCACCATGGGAGAGGGGGGGGGGCGAGAGGAATGGCGGAGAGAGAGAGTGAGAGAGTGAGAGAGAGAGAGTGTGAGAGAGAGAGAGAGAGAGAGAGAGAGAGACAGAGAGAGAGACAGAGAGAGAGACAGAGAGAGGGGGAGAGAGAGAGAGAGAGAGAGAGAGAGAGAGAGAGAGAGAGAGAGTGCACAAGAAAGAAGAGAGAGAGAGAGAGAGAGATATAGAGAGAGAAAGAGAGAGAGAGATGGGTAAGTGAGGGAAAGAGAGAGAAAGAGGTGGAGAGATATAAGTATAGAGAGAGAAAGAGTTCTGCGGCATATCGTCGCTATGACTATAATGCTACTTTTAGAAGAGGGTCAGTATAATGATTTGCGTCCACTGATGGCAGGCCAGTGTGATACATGTGCATGGCTAACACCAGTCATGAGCAGAGCACCAGTCACTCTGTTGCAGGTGACGGTATGCAGCAATCTTGAAGCTCTGCAGGTGTTTCCGGGCTGGCTGCTTGTCCAGAATTGCCTGTGGCAGTCTATTCCACACTGGCACGATGCAGTATGGGAAAGAGCGCAGAAGGTAATCAGGAGCTCGTGGTGAGAGATTCAGCTCAAGCTGGTGGGTATGGTGCTGTGCTTGGGCTGCTCGTGTGCGGATCGTATTGACAGAAATTGGTCCTGGAAAAACTTCTAATTAAGCGGTATGTTCGAATTAAGCCATTTTCGAATTACAGGTGGAATCCTGATAATTCGAATATGATTTCTGTCAATACGATTCTCACATAAAATTTCTGATAATTCGAACCTCAACCGGACATGTTCGGTTAATTAGAAGTTCCACTGATTCCACTTAAATAGAAAATGTGTGGGATTTGTGCTGATAATTCGAAGTTAGCAAAGTGTAATTCGAAGTTCACTGTACACTGTACTGGTCAGTTGAGTTTGCATGAGCAGGCTGTGCCGGTCAGTTCAGTGTTCGTGAAATCTGTGTCTAAGATCCATAGCGCAACTCTGCTTGACCATGAGAGCATTTTGATATACATGTACATATTGTGTTGTGGGTGCATGTTTGGATAATTAGAATGTCCGGATAATTAGAGGTTTTTGCCTGGCATTTTGAGGTTCGAATTATCAGGATTCCACCTGTACTACGCAATGCATTTCTCTAGGAGAACAAAATAATGTGATTAACCTGCTCATGCTCAACTGATATGCATAATGGGGTGGATTCCGTGGAGCACTGTGCATTGATCAGGTAGTGATGCTCTCTTGCAGGTTTATAAAACATAATTCATATTCTATTTATGGAGGACTAGGCCGGTTGTGGGTTGAGTCCTGACAGACCATGTAGCAGTAGAGAAGATGTTGTAAATATTTGCAAATTTTCATTTGCCACAACTAGGTACACATGCCACCATCACCATGAAAAGGGGAACAGGAACCAGTTGGCGACTACAACAGAACTGTGCATGCAGTCGGCCACTGTTGAACAGAAGAAGCAACAGTAGCGGATAAGATAGTGATCCAGTACGCGCGACTCTGAGGAGCATTTCACATGTGGAACGCAAGAAATCACTCGGAATCTGTTACCTGTCCCTCCAGGAAATCGCGATTCCACGGATGCAACAAATGTTGTGATTTTCGCCCAAACCAGCGATTTTCAGCGAAATCCGGGATTTTCTGCGTTTTGTTGTTTTCTGCACTATATCTCACATTTTTATGCGCTTGTGCTTTTAATGATCCTGTAGGTTATTTGCATAGTACGACTGGTACTACTCCCGAGTAGATATACTGTGCAAATAACGATTCTAACGATGTAACAAATTGTGATTTGGCCCAAATCCACAATTTTCTTCAAATATTTCCATGAATTCCTGGCAAGTTCCAGATCTTTTCGCCGCTTTTTTGTTGTCTTCTGTCGCAATTTCTTGCGCAAGTTTTCGAGAATTTTCCGCAAATTCCCATACGGACAGTGTTACTTAGAGCTTTTAATGCTCGTCAAGGACAGAAATCTATCATGGTCAGATGTGGAAATCATCAGGCAGCAGTGTAGTTGGGCTTAAAAAAAAAGGAAAACAAGGTGGCCTAGACTGAGAAACCTATGCTATCCTAGTGACACAGCCAGCAAGGAATACAAAAAAATGTAACAACACACAGCAAACACAATTAAAATTTATTGTCATTTTCTGGTTTAATTTTTTTAATAATTAAAAAAACCCAGAGAATGAATGGGAAAGCATGACCAGGCTTACGTCCTGAAGACAATGAACGATATATTTGAACTATTTTCCGTCTTGTGATTTGAGGCAAGCTGATTGGTTGGCCACATACATCTGCCATAATCACATCCGGAGAATTTTCTCGAATACGTTGGCAAGCAGTTTGAGTGAAGGGATTCGAAATAACAACCCCACATTTGGCTACCCTATCCACCAAGGTACTAGCTAGATGTGATAATAATAAATAGTATGTGACAGATTGTGTACAATATGCATTGACACAATAAGAATAAAATATGCTATCCAGAGGGTTAACTGCGTGTCGTCAAGCGTAGCATTGGGAGTAGAAACAACACAGTGTGGCAGGGGCCTGGAATCATCAAAGTTTATTGCATAATCATATATGAGCAGACGCTCTGGATCACCGCGCCAGAAGCAGAATCCCGGCAAAATGCTCCTGCTGTTTGCGAATGCAAGCATGTAAAAAACTGCATAATGGAAGCAATGCCCATGCCTATGACATTGTGATGCGGCAGCTGCAACCGTGACATGTATTTACACATACATAACATTTATACAGGAACGAGCTACGAAGTCTACATGCTGAGGAGACGTAGCAATGTTGAACGAGCTAACTGTACAAAACTGAATATGTACAAACACAATACAAACACAGACTAACTCCGTGCATGTTCAATCATCGAAGAGGCATTCCGGTATCACTGCCACCATGTACATGTATGCATGTGTAGACGTAGAGTACTGCTCGATGAAATCCAGTGGCGTCACTCAAGTACGCGCCGGGCGTTACGCGGCCATTGCCCTGCAAACACTGGACTGCAAAATGATGCAAGGCGCAAACTTGAGTGACGCGACTGGATCTCATCGAGCAGTACTGTCTATATGAGTGAGCAGTACTGTCCATGGCAGTGCCATTGACAGGGGCAGTATACAGTCGATGTCGCTGCTGCTCAGGAGCAATCAAACCAAGCTGTCCTCAACATCAAACGTGCTGTATAGGTTTTGGAAGTCCCCTGGAGAGTGGCGGAGCAGGACTGGCGGCGGCTCAGGCAACGTCGCATTTCCTCCGCGCAGCTGTGATCGGGAAAGGATGCGGGAGCCTTCCTCCAATTCAACCAGCCCTAGAAACCCCCAAGGGTCATCATCGGCACCAATGGCTGGCACAGAGTGTGCCGACGTGTTGTCCGAGGGGTGGGCATTGGAGCGAGGGTGTCTAGGCTGCATCTACACAGATAAGCACACAGATAAGCACACAGATAAGCATGGCGTTTTTAAGATTTTACACATACACATTGTGTTGCGCAAATTCTTCCGTGCATGCACCTGGTTAAGATACTTGGAGTACAATGTAGGATTGTTCATCATGAGGGAGCCCGGCAGCAGCAGCAACATATCTCATGTACTCTTGGCCAGGAAGTGTAGTACAATACGGGAATTTTACGACTACCTGCTCTTGACCCACCGACTGTGTGCAGTGTTGGCACTTCCCCACAGGAAATTAACTCATGAAAAAAGCAAAAAAATGAAGCTGCTACCTTCTTGCTTGCTCATCAAGTTGACTTTCTGACCTTATCAGTTTCATTAATTTGATTTTAAAAAACAATTCAAGGTTCGCGTGATACTCGGCTAGAGGCCAAGTTTTCACATCTGTAGGAACGCCGCTACCCCCAAGGATCAAGGCACAGATGTAGCTCCTAAAGCAGTGGAATTGTCTTGGGATGGGATTTTCGGTCTCACACTTGATTGCCAGGTTATACTGAACCACTTCAGCATCATAATGGCTGTGTTGATCTTGAAACTCTAATGAATCGTACTTCCTACTTCTTCAGCAGAAAAGAGGCAATTACTGTAAATTAGTGGGAGAGTGCCCCCGTGACCAACTCATCATTCCCCGGTCGGGTCGTGGAGGTGGTGTCCTGTCTCTAGGCCATGCGACACGAACCTTGTGCACACATTGCACGTTGTGCAGTCAATACGCCCTCAATCTTGCTATCAAGCGGATGCTAGCTACATACAAAAATAAAGTAAGTGTGACTTGAGTACACTACGGCTCTCATACCAGTACACGCCGTACAAACTCAGTTCCATTCTGCCACACGATTTCACGATTTTCCATTCCATGGCTTTAAAATCAAGCCGGGTGCCCTCGCCCTGCGCTCAAGGTACTTTACGGCATATTTTCTAATTGACACATGAAGCACAGAGGCCACTGCACTGATTACACTACAATCACCCCACTCTTTCCCACCGCAAGCGCAAATTCTATCATTTAAAAAAAGTACAAATATGTGTGCATTTGGGTACAGGCAACTGCGTGAATAACGTTTAATTTCTCGCCAGCCGGACAGAGTGAGATAGGCGAGAAATGATTTCTCGTGCAACTCTTTATTCCTGTTACAAATATGGCGCCTGATGTTCTTTTTCTTTTGTTGTTGTTCTTTTTGCCTGACTTCTTCAGTCAGTTTTTTGAGTCTCACCAGTGTCCCCACCCTCCCACCCTTCATGTCTTCGCATCTTCTCCCTTTTCTTAATAGAATATGTTGTGCCTGTTTTCATGCTGCCATGTTGTCACTTGGGGTTATGCACCCGGCTTTCCCCTCATTCAGCGTTCATTGGTGCGAGGTTTTTCTTCCGGCTGGCTCGGTCCAGATAAATTAATCTGACGGTCCCGAGTGGTGTCCGTCCTGGCCTATTTCTGTTAGCCAAACATACTCATTTTTTCCTCCTGGGGCTCCGTCACCCTGTTGTGGCTCCTAGTTTTCTTCTGCAATCCGATTCACATCTGGCTGCGGCCTACTACCCCTCACTTTGTGTGCTCCTGGCTCCGTTGTCTGCGTCTTTGCCGGTATATCGGTGTATGTGGAGTGAGAAAAATTCGGGTCACGATAACAACAAGCCGCCAATGATGATTCTACATTGTACTGCGTCTTCAGACCTAGTGCTGTGACTATTGGACTGTATAATCTCAACATTGTGAATCACGACAACTCGCAGACAACAAAACCTTTCTGACACTCGATCGAGAATCATTATTTGCAAGGTTGACTGTATAGAAAAAGTAAATTATCGTGTCCGTTCCCGAAGGGAACTCACGACCGCCGCTAACACCCGATAAACACGGTTGATTGCATAACTAGTTAATCATGGCCAGCAATCGAGGACATCTGAGAGTTGTAATTTTTGTACTCCTCCGAAGTGTGATTTTTGACGTGCTGGGCCAAGCACAAGGAAGCCAAAAAAAACTGAAGAAAATGGCTGTTGTTTGATCCTTTGGTGTAATCTTTGTAGCTAGTCGAAGAAAGTTGCTGTTTGGAGCAGAAACGCTGAAATTGACTATGTTCTGACTCATGCATGTACTCATGTACGCAGGCATGCAGCCTCGCTCGTATTGTAAGTTAGCTCTTTTTCTGGAATGGATGTTGCTCTGCGACCCTTGGTGAACATTACCTGCGCTCGTGGAGCAGCTGAAAAGGACCACTGGTATGTCTGGTTCCTGGTTTGAAAGTGGAGAGTGAACTTTTGTGCCTTGAAAAAGGAGTAGAGAGAGATAAAGGTACGTCTGTAGCTTATTTTTTAGTGCTACTCGTACATTTTTGATCGTGATAGAAGATTCTCAGACCAAAGTCAGACCAAAGTCAGCGCGAAGATGGCCGTACAGTTTTCTTATGGATTTTTTCGTTGTTTCATCTCGTATCTATGTTAGTATCGTGATGGTGAAGTGGAGAGGGTGATTTTCTTCCTGTAAGCTTCGTTCGGCCGACTTTGCTTCGTCCTCGATGAAAAGTGATGCTGAAAAAAGTCGATTCGCAAAATTATGTTGATTTTCAATGTACGTGATGACATGCGATTGCTGGCCATGTGTAATTTATCATGAAGCTCACTGCAGCCGCCCAAATGGGATGCTCTTCTCACGTACCTGTCCTGCAGCGCTGGGCTCTTCTTGGCGGATCCGTCTTGGTAGTGTTGAGGTTCTCCCTCCCGTCCTGGGCCGAAGCCTTGGTGGCTTCACTGGTGGCTCTGCTGTATCCGCGTTGTTTAGCAGCACCCTTGAAACATGCAAACAAGCAGGGTACACATTGTTCTCTTTATTTTGGTGAAAGTCCCTGGTTTGAGTCCTTGTGGTGACAGTTAATTGTGTTTTGCTTCAATTTTTTTCCTTTTCAATTCCCTCAAATTAATGAGGAGTTATTTATTTATTTATTTCTGCACCTCGTGGCATGTCAAGACAGCCAATTGAATTGAGGAGAGGGTGAGACCAACCACGGAAGAAGAGAAAAAAGAAAATGAAGAGCACGTACACAAAGTGGAAAGGGATTAGCAACTTACAAAGCAATGGGATGCTCAGCGAGCTATGCAGCGGAAGTGGTGACTGCTCGCTGAGCATCCCAAGTTATACTGCTAGATCTTTTGCTTATTAACAGTTTTTGCGAACACCGGGCATATGGATAGGGGTATTGTCAAAGAAAAAAGAACGCCCCACCCAGGTGCCCTAGTGGAGCCCCTCGAGGAGGTAGGTGGTGCTAACCAACCCAGTATTGTACTCACTGATGTTTGTCTTTCGTCTTTGTCTGCTGTTGTCGCTCTTGTTGATTCTTGTTCAAGTGACAAATCATGGACAGTTGATGTTAAAACCAGTTCAACCGTGACAGTTTTTACAGCAAATGTTGAACTGGTTTTAACATCAACTGTCTATATAGACCATATCCAACTCATGAACTTGCTTTAAAGCAAGTTTATGAGTTGGATGTGGTCTTTAAGTTTAAAGTGTGAAGCTGGACAAGTCATAGAGTTCTAAGAGAAATTTCCACAAAGCTAAAAGACTGCCATTGATCTCATTTCATCATTCTGTCACTGAAGTAGATCAGCTTCACTCCCTTGACGCTAGGTACTGGTGGAAGGAAGCAAAGCGGTTCCAGTCAGTTTAGCCCGAAGATTGCGCTGGCAAACACTGTGTTGTTCCAATAGGCGATGCGTATCGTCTAAATCACGATAACTGATCTCAATATCAAAGCATGGATAAGAATACGCCCTCTATCCAGAGTGCCTGCATGCTGCAAAATACAAGTCACAAAATACGTACTCTGATAGAATGTACACTTGACAATTTGATATCGGTTCGAATTGTGACCCGCGCAGTGATACGCACATTCTGCTTAGCTCGTGAGAGAGAAGGTTGATCACGGCAAAATTTGGTCGTTTTCAGTTGTCTTATTGTATTCACATGTATCATGCTTCAGAAGGGCGAGAGATAGGAGAACCGCCAGGGAGCATCACATCCATCTTCAGGAAGTGGGAAGAGCAAACGGCATGGTCCTTGGTTGGGGTAAGTGCTGAACGTCTGATTCGTCCCACCAAGATTTCAGCACTTTGTCCGTCATTTTTTTCGCTAGGCATCTGATGTCTCTGCGCTCCAGCTTTCTCCTTTCGGTGTTGCGTCCCAGTACACAACTGAGAGGACTACTAATAAACAGTTCACGGCACTAACAGCATTGAGTACAGCTCTTCTTTCACTTCGTGAATACAATAAACCAATTGAAAATGACAAAATTATATAGTGATCGACCTTCTCTCTCACGGACCTAAGCAGAATGTGCATATCATCACTGCACTGGTCGCTGTGGCAAAGTGAACATACAATTGGCAATTTGGCAAGTTTGCCTTATCGTATGCAAGCGAGAGATATGTCATTTGAACAGATATCAACTTGTCTTTCGTCTGAACCCTACTTGCAAAATCGATGCACTTCCTCTTTAACCGCACCCATCTGTTTTCCACAAAAAATCCGGATAGGCGAGGGATCCGGATAAAAGAGGACCGGATAAGCGAGGTCTGACTGTACGGAGATTGTCCGGAGCACCAGTGCACTGCATTGCATCCATATTATTCAGGTATGCTAGTAGGTACAGAATAGTCCTGATCCCCATGCCGCTAGTATGCAGGGGCGTAGCACCCGCTACGACTGGTACGACCATGGCCGTACCACTTTTCGAAAAGTGTGGTCCGCCTGGAACGTGCAAAACCGTAATAAAAAAATAAGGATCCATCGATGCATACATGTATGCGCATCAGACTTTGAGTTTGACCGTTTTCTTTCTAGACTCGTACTCGTAGATCTGTTATGCATCTGCAGTCGTACTGAGTACTATACTTGACTAACACAGGATTTTGTGTCTTTTTTACAAACATTTCCCCCGGGAGGTCCCCCGGACCCCCTCCAACACGGCCTTCGGCCGCACCGACCTTCGGCCGCACCGACCTTCGGTCGTACCACTTCCAAAACCCCTCCTACGCCCCTGGTATGTCTATCCCAAGGATGCTGCCCTGTCCATACTTACTGGCTAAGAGACTCAACAATTGCCCTGAGAGTAGCTGGCGGAGAAGCCCGCAGATATATGGTGCCTTCACCGCACGATGCCATCTTGCCAACATCAATTTGGAGTGACCAAACTGTAGTATATACATGCCCATGCACACACACACACACACACACACACACACACACACACACACACCATTTTGGACGCCCATCGCCAGAGGCGATGATGGCGATGCTACAGCAGAAGCCATAGCAGCTTGTGCTGGGATTGCACCATTCAACAGCTTGCAAGGCTGAAGAATTGACCACCACTTTTCAGCCTGGTCTACACCACACAGCTATGAAGTGGCTTTTCTGGCCAGTGAATCCCTACTTTTTGGTCTTTTTCATTTTTTTTTCACGCACACACATCACACCACATACTCCGGCATGCACTGGCTGTTGGTAACCACCCAGGAGAATGAAAGAAAAGTCAGGAGGAGTCTGAGAAAGAGAAGAAAGACGTGTGTGACCATAATCATCGGGAATCGAACCCGCAACCTATCGATTGAAAATCGCTGCACATACCACTGCACCATATGGGACACACACACACACACACACACACATACACATACACACAAACACACACACACACACACTCACACACACACACACATGCACACACACACACACACACACACATACACACATACACACTTACACATACACACAGGATGAAGCACGCTACAACAGCCAGTCCCGTGGGTGTTCAATAAAGCACAGTTTCACTAGCAAACAAGCACATCACAATGGAGTAAGAGTAATTCCACGCTGGGTGATATCATTATGCAGCACTATACCGGTTAGCCGGGTTTTCTGGGTGATAGCAGTCATTGAATTCCCTTGGAAATGAAGAAAAACAGTTACTCTCCTTGTCTACGAAAGCAGACAAGATCTAAAACCGTCGTCACCAAAAGCCGCCATGGGCAGGCACTGTTGAAGAAAGACAAGATTTGAGTGAAATAGATCCAGTCAAATCTCCCCCGGCTCAAGTAGACTCTGTGAAACTGGGAAATTTTGAAAAGTCAAGTAGCCAAGTTTTTAGTGAAAGAACAGTTTAGACTATGATTGTCTGGCGGCTTAATTTATACTCGTTACTTAGGTCACACAGACAGACAGACAGACAGACAGACACACACACACACACACACACGCACGCACGCACCCACCCACTCCCCCCCCCCCCCCACACACACACTAACACACCACCACCGCCACCACCACAACCACCACCATGCTTCTCAGCCTTCTCACTTCACATTGCAAATTGTTTGCGTACTTGTGAGGGTCACTTTCTTCACACTGTTTACTCCGCAGCGAAAGACCGGATCCCGGAACCCCTTGCAGATCAGCGCAATCTCAGTGCTGTTGTGCGCCAGGCTGAGCACAATATTTGTTGCGGCCACGCTGTCAGCCAAACCCCACGGCATGTTGATGACGTCATGCCAGATATGATCTGCAACACGATACAGAGTAACAGCAAGAACAGAATGATGTCATGTGCATCACGGTACAGTAGAGCAAGCACAGAATGATGTCATATGCATCACGGTACAGAACAGCAAGCATAGAATGATGTCATATGCATCACGGTACAATAACAGCAAGAACAGAATGATGTCATGTACATCACGGTACAGTACAGCAAGCACAGAGAGTTTGATAGAGCAGTGCTTAGCGCGGCACAAGGTCAGGTAATTGCCGGAAGGAAACCCGGGCTGTAACATTTGGAGAAGCCGCCTTCATTACACTCGTCATACAAGTAAAACGCTGATGTCTCAACACGTTGGTTTGAGACTTTTTTTCAGTGTTCCGAGGTAATAAATAATTATTGAAATGGGAAACCGTCTGAAGAAACATTGACCGTCACCCCCAGGACTCGTACCAGGGACCTTCGCTAGTGGCCAGCGATGCTCTAACCACCGGGCTTAGCTGTCATCCAACCAGCAACTGTTTAACATTTTCTTCAGACTTCGTAGCTCACACTTCCTGTGACAATGCAAAGTTTTTACATTCAAAATACTTGCACATGCAACAAAATAGAATGGGAGTTGCTATTTTTTTGCTTGCCACACTCTGCCAAAAAGAAATGGAATACAGTTATAACGGCCACCGAAGAATTGGGGGGTCAGCCTCCTAGCCTAGACCGTTCGTATCTTCATGTATTGCAGGCTATGCACAGTTGCGTAACCGTGTATACATTGGTAATTTGGTATGCTGTGCTTGATGAAATTCTATCCTGGTGATTCTTCGGCACTACCTGACAGTACTAGATGTCCTCTCTAGGACTAATCAAGTGGATGTGCATGTGTTGACAATCCTACCGTATCGAAGTCTCTCTTTGCTTGGCTTGCCCGTGATGAACTCCTGCAGAACCTCTACCCAGGAACGGCACGCCGACGGGTTTGGTGCAAACAGCTCCAAGTACTGCGGCCCGAATATGCCGGACGACTTCAGGGAGATGACAAAGCGAGCCTTTGGGTCTGTCACTGGGCGGCATGTGCCTTCATCGGGATCTGCACACGAGCAAACAGATGGATACCGCACAGTATGGACTTTTCAGTTACAATCATTATTCAGTGTAACAGAAATATTTGACCCCAGCATTATGATATTTTTATTCTGTCATACAACAAACAATCTCTCCAGCCAATCTTGGTTCCATTGCCACAGCATGCCATCAGGAAAGCAAGATATTGGCAGGTATTGAATTCCTTCAAGTGGCTGCTGTGACCCGGCATAATGCTCCTCAACGAGGAAGGTCGGATAGTGAGGAATAGGTATAATATAGTGGGTATCTTTCAATAAGTGGGTCACCTTGGACAACTCCAATGTTCGTGTCAAACGGTGTACTGAGCTGGTTCCTGAGTTCAACCCGAGCAGACGTGTTGGACATGAGTGTTTCCGGTATTCTGACAGGGCAGTCTGCTACCACCATCCTCTCCAGAGCTGTTTAGCGGATTATTGTGTCAAAGGCACCCGAGAAATCCAACAGTGCAGCTGAGTAGTGCCAGTCACCAAGAGTTGAGCGTTCGCACAACACTCTCGAACATTGGAGTTGTCCAAGGCGACCCACTTTCCTCGATAATGTTTATCATGCATGCTGAAGGAGCTATGCGTAAAGTTGATTTGATTTCCTTGCCTTCAGTTCTACCCTGTCCACACTCTCAGTACGCTGACGACACCACCCTTCATGCCACTGAGAAAGAAACGGCCCTCCTACCTAAGTGCGAGAAAGTTTTCGCCGAAGACAACCTTAAACTTAACCTTCAGAAAACCCACACATTTACCACGTCCAAGGCTGACCCAGAGTGGAAATCAGTGAAGCTCTTGGGCTCTTTGCTAGGGTCAGCTGAGGACATGGACTCTAGAATAAATGCAGCAAACCGTGCTTTCCGCTCCATTGCTTGGGATTATCACAGTATTGAATCTCGTCTATGTATGTTTAAAGTTCTGATTTTGCCTGTACTCCTGTACAACTGTGGCCTCTGGACACTTACGAAGAAGCTAGAGGATCGACTGGATCCATGGCATCGTCGCAACCTCCGATATATTATGAACATTGTCCACCCTCACCATATATCCAACAAGAAGATTTACCGAAAGACCAACCAAGCCCCGATTTCCCAAACATATAAAGAGCGCCGCCTACTGTGGCTGGGGCACGTTGTCCGGGAAGGACCAGACGCGGCCTCTTACAAGGCACTGCAGCTGGCCCTCAATACTTCGAACATCAAGCGCCCCCGTGGACGACCCCACAATAGATGGGTCGAAAACATCAGAGAAGACCTCGAACCTCTGAATGTGCCGATTCAGGGATGCCTCAACCTCGCCACCAACAAGCAACTCTGGTTAACAATCATTGACAGATGCATGACCCCCGTATGATTTGTTTATGCAGGTAATATGCCACCTGTTCATATTATTATTATTATTATTATTATTATTCAACGCAATAAATAGAGTAAGCTGCGCACTCAGTACAAACACCATAAGCAAAACTTGTTTTCATGTAAATAAAGAAGCTTGTTCCTAAACGTTTTCGTCGCCATCTCATCAGAGGATTACTGGCAAATCAACAAAAGCTCTTAACTCAATATATATACGCACAATGCAAGTAATAATTTAGACCCTAACTAGCGCGATAAAATGAGAGCTGAAAGAAACATTACACCATTCAACGATATCAGGTGACAACAGATGCGATAAATTCACCACTAGAAAGTTACCATGCAACCACAAACGAGAACTACTGATCTAAATTCACAAACAATTTCAACGTAAACAAATTCTTTTTCTGCCTACACAAAATCGGCTTAGTGGTAAAAATGTAAATAGACTCCAATACACGCAAATACCTTTGACTACGTGAACGAGACCAAACAGAAAAGCAATCATCAGCATAACTAGAACGACAATCACTATTCTGAACAAGATGGTTGGCGATAGAAGATTCATACACCCTAACAACGCTACTAGAACCAGTACATACTTTGGAATTACGTGACAATGTAACCGACCTGACATTCCTTGCCGCTACTGCCAATCCAGACGAGGCCGATGTAGATGTCAGTACCAAAGGCACGTCCGTTACTGGCACTGCCTGCTGCGATGATGCTCCCTTTGACGTTCCAATGGCTGTTGATGTTGATGAAGAGGAGGAGGGAGATGAGGAAGACGCTGACGACGACGATGACGACAACGACGGAGACGATAAAGACTCTGCTAACCTCGCCCTAGAGCGAGTCACTGGTCCCGCAGACACACCATCCGGTGGCTTCTTCGGTGGCCGGCCACGCTTTGTGTAGGCAGAAAAAGAATTTGTTTACGTTGAAATTGTTTGTGAATTTAGATCAGTAGTTCTCGTTTGTGGTTGCATGGTAACTTTCTAGTGGTGAATTTATCGCATCTGTTGTCACCTGATATCGTTGAATGGTGTAATGTTTCTTTCAGCTCTCATTTTTTCGCGCTAGTTAGGGTCTAAATTATTACTTGCATTGTGCGTATATATATTGAGTTAAGAGCTTTTGTTGATTTGCCAGTAATCCTCTGATGAGATGGCGACGAAAACGTTTAGGAACAAGCTTCTTTATTTACATGAAAACAAGTTTTGCTTATGGTGTTTGTACTGAGTGCGCAGCTTACCCTATTTATTGCGTTGATTACATTTTTATCTCCACGGAAGCTTTTTAATTATTATTATTATTATTATTATTATTTCAATAAGATACCCACCATATTATAAAAGAATTACGATCAAAAGGATTATACAAAAAGCAAGGCATTGAAATGATTGAGGGTTAACAAAGGGGTGATTGCAATTGGACATTACCTGTTGTGGTGTTTGCAATCTTTCGGGGGCTCATGCCCAGAAATCCCACCGATCCCATATTCTTGAACTTGATCACTTTGTTCGGCTTTGAGTTGTGACCGAGATAGTGCATCTTGTCGGTGTAGAATTCTAGCCGTTCACTGTGCTGTTCCGTTCTACCCTTGACCACGGCATAACGCACCTTCTTGCTCTGCACGTGACAGAAAGAGAGAGAGAGAGACGTGAAGAGGTATTTTGAAGTATTTAGATGGATAGGGAGGGAGGACGAGTGCACACACGTACACATGTAAACACACATGCACACATACACACAAACACACATACACACAAATACAAACACACATACACACATGCACACACATACACACACACACATACACACATACACACATGCACACACATGCATACATACACACAGACGCAGATGGATGCAAACGAGAGAGGCAGATAACATAATGGTACGAGAGAAACCTCCCAAGCTAGTTGTGTTTCTGAACTATAATTGTATAGCTGGTGGTAGAGCGGATGTGAAAACTTGTCTAGCTGTTACTGTACACACAGTGCACATATATCCTATACATGGGGTGTTAGAGATTGCTCACACTGCCAAGCCTGGGTCAGGTGCCGGGTTCAGGCATTAGCTGGGCTTATAACAGTTACTGTGACATGTAGCTCGGCACAAGGCCTCCATCAGTGACAGCTCAGAGTGGAGTTTCATCCTGCGGGCACTTCTTCCGGGACGTCCCAGCCGGGGCATCGGATATGCTACGGTCAGTACGGTATTGACCGTACCACTCTTCGCCCTGGATACCCTGTGAAATCAATAAAAATAGCACTGATCTGGGCTCTAAATTTCAAAAAGTTTCAGAGGAGCCACCCCAACTGCACAAGTAAATTGTGCTTCAGATGGCTGACGATATCACCCTAAAATACCTTCCAACACCCCTGAAGACCGCTGCATTTGCTGCTCATAGTCCAGCACTGTCTCTGGATAAGCCAGCCTCTAGCTGGATGAAGGAAATTCACTCTGTTACAGTGATCGGTCCTAAAACCAAGGTTGCACTGTGCCGCAATGATAAGAAACTGAGTGTCAGCTTCACACACATCCAGGGTTCTGGAAATAGTTTAAAATGCAGTTCAACTTTCCAGGCTCCTGGACTAGAAGTAGCTTCTAAGTTATTCCTCGAAGCTGGATACTACTAGACTCTAGACTCCCCAGCCCAGTACTAGTGTTGGTGTATCTGCTGTTGGTATGCCTGCGTACCTGTACACATGGGCGTAGGAACCGGTCCGGCAGGCCCGGCTGTCGCCGGACCAATAATTTTCGAATTTTTATATTTTTATTTATTTTTAACATTTCAACCTTGTTGATGGCTTGTCGACTCTTGTACAGGTACCATGTTTTACATCGACATTGCGGTGTATCATCAGCATGCATATTCTTATTTCTCATATTATTCTTTTCTCAAGGTTTGGAGACTCCACTGTAGCCACTCACCCCCACCGTTAGGCGCTGCATCTGCCGCTAGGGTTTATCGGGTGTTAGCGGCCGTCGTGAGTTCCCTTCGGGAACGGATACGATAATTGACTTCTTTTTTTTTACTGTAGCCAATACTTGAATCCATACATCCTGTACACACACCTTGTACACACTCTCTCTAACGGTCTCTAGGCTACACTGCAATTGATATACATTAGATCAAATTTTCGGGCAAGGCCCATCATCAGGAATAAGTCTACTGTAGACAAAACAGGGGTTTATATATGTGACAAGTACTAGTGGCCAAAGGCGTGATGGTATAGCGTAAAATGTTGCAATACCACAGGAAGCGAGATTATTATTCTGCGTGATATGTATGAAGTGATAATATAGTGCAGTGATAGTGCACGATTACTAGTGTGAGTACAAAGCAGAAAAATACACACTTCTATACACTGTGGTGTACTCTATGAAATGTACCATCTGTCAAGAAGAATACGTCGGGGAAACAGAAAGGACAACACGCAAGAGGACTGAGGAGCACTACAGACAAGCCAAGAACGCGACATTGGGAAAGTCATGGGGAGACCATTATCGACAAAAGCAGCACACCTTCCCATCGTCACCGCAGTTCTCGCCATTTGCCCATCTACAACTTCTCGCCAGCAAGCAACGGTCATACGTTGACCGCAGAATCATGGAGGCACTATTCATGAGGAAGAGGAAGCCGGCAGTGAACAGTGACAATGGTTGGCGACTGTTGGGTGATGTGTAAATATATCTGTCATAATTTGTGCAAGAATTTGTGCACTGTGTGCGTGTATGTGTGTGTGTGTGCGTGTGTGTGTGTGTGTGTGTGTGTGTGTGTGTGTGTGTGCGTGTGCGTGTGTGTGCGTGTGTGTCCCATATGGTGCAGTGGTATGTGCAGCGATTTCCAATCGATAGGTTGCGGGTTCGATTCCCGACGATTATGGTCACACACGTCTTTCTTCTCTTTCTCAGACTCTTCCTGACTTTTCTTTCATTCTCCTGGGTGGTTACCAACAGCCAGTGTATGCCGGAGTATGTGGTGTGGTGTGGTGTGTGTGTAGAAAAAGAAAAAAAGAAGAAAAAAATGGAAAAAAATGGAAAAATGAAAAATAGGGATTCACTGGCCAAAAAAGTCACTTCAAACAGCTGTGTGGTGGATACCAGGCTAAAAATAGTGGCGGTCAATTCATCAGCCTTGCAAGCTGTTGAATGGTGTAATCCCAGCACAAGTTGCTATGTCTAACATAGCTGTTCGCTATCATCGCTCCCGCGATGGGCATGTCTGAGGAGGTCTGAGGTGTGCGTGTATGTATGCGAGTGTTGCTAGAAGTGTGTATTTTTCTGCTTTGTACTCACACTAGTAATCGTGCACTATCACTGCACTATATTCACTTCATACATATCACACAGAATAATAATCTCGCTTCCTGTGGTATTGCAACATGTTACGCTATACCATCACGCCTTTGGCCACTAGTACTTGTCACATATATATTATATATTATACAAGGTACGTTCGGGCCTGATTGGAAATTTTTATTTCCATTGCTATCAGGTTCGGCCTCGTTTCCTCTGTGCTGCGCTGACGAGTCCACAAAGGACGAAACAGTTCTGTCCGCAGATTGAGTATATAATATATATTTATGCTGACCTTTCATACAAACTTCCAGTCAACTTGTTGGGTTGTGTTATATACATATAAACCCCTGTTTGGTCTACAGTAGACTTATTCCTGATGATGGGCCTTGCCCGAAAATTTGATCTAATGTATATCAATAGACCAATCCCGAAAAGATTGTCTGGGTTCGAAAGGGGGCATGTCAACTGAGAGTACACTGTACAACACATACATGGCACTACCTGATCAGCATGCAGCACAGGACGTGTTTGATAGTTCGCGTGTGAATGCGAGGGTAAGTACACGGTTTTCTCGTTAGTTGCATGCAAGAGAGACGATGCGACAGAAAGCAAAGCCCTTCGTAGCTTTCTCTCTCGCACTGGTAATGGTCTGCTGTTGGAGTTGAAATGCTAAGACATAATCCTTGTTTCGCTCTTCTGTGTAGTGTGAAGAGGTCAACGAACATGTAGAGCTCACTTTGATGAAGTGGGCAAGGCTGTGAGCGCTGTGGCTCGAAGTGATAGGCCCTAAATCTTACGAGATATTTCGAGTGCTATTGTTTGTTGCGAGCGCTTCGTCTTCGATGAGTCCTGCCTCTTTCCTGGCAGCTGCCCTCCTATGACCAACCACGAAGTGACTGTACTCATCTGCAGCCGATCAATGTTATATTGCACAAGAAGATATCGTTTTCGCCAAGCCAGTGCCCCGCCAAAGACCATCGCCGTGTCACACCGTCGGAACGAGTTCATGATGAGAAACATCATTCGCGCGAGCGTGATGAAGAACTATTTCGAAAGACAACATAGTCGTTACCCCCGGGACGACAACTATGTGCACGTCCTGCAAGGGGAGAATGTCACCAGCGACATCAACGAAGACGACGGCAGTATTTCGGAAACCTGGAGTCAGCGGAGGTCGTCAAGCTCCTCCGCGACCTGGTACATGTACAGTATGTGACATGTCGACACGAGCGTGCGGAAACACAGCATACAATGAAGTAATGTTGCGAGAGTTTGCGGAAGGAGTCCAAGTCGGGAAATCCATCAGCTCCAAAAGCTACCTGTAGGTGGGCGATGAGACTCCAGCTTCAGACTACAACAGTCAGGACTTGTAAATAGTTGAACTTTGTGAAGCAGCAGATCGAGAAGTTAGCTGAAATCGTAGCTGTTGCAGTATGTCGGCGCTATGTAGCTTGCATTTTTTACGGAGAGTCGATCGCCACGCGAATGTTTCTCTCCTCACCGAGAGCTATCTGGCCTCCAAACTCCGTCAGGGTCTGCCTAAGGTACCGAAGGTCCTTTGACTAGCTGCTGGCAGGACTCCATCAAATCCTTTAGCTTCAGCTCGGCGAGCAAAAGTCTCTCTCTCCTCCGCCATGAGCTGACACACACAAACTGAATACAAAACGATGCACTTCACACGTGCTGGCTTGCACGCGTGCCCCCTTTCACGAACCCAGACAATCTTTTCGGGATTGGTCTATTGCAGTGTAGCCTAGAGACCGTTAGAGAGAGTGTGTACAAGGTGTGTGTACAGGGTGTATGGATTCAAGTATTGGCTACAGTAAAAAAAAAAGTTATACTGTCACGCCATGCCATGCCGGAAGCACTGAAAACCCAGTAGAAGCTAAAAAGCCGTTCCTACAGTATTCCTTGCACGCAAGGGATACTGAGCTCAGGGAAACAAAATTGTGTCATCAGCACCGATCTGAGCACGACAGCTGTAGAGTGCAGTACTACTAATCAAAGAACTGTATTCAAAAATCCAAGATTAGGCCATGGTAAAAAATAAAGTTGATTCTCAGGTCATGAGCCTGTGAAAATCGGTGCGAGCGAGCGATTTTATTTTTTATTTCCCACTATTTTTTATTGCCAAAGATAGGGTCACACATATGTACGTCACAGGTTCATATAATTATTTTTATTATTCAGGCCAGGGAGTAGAAAATGACCGGTATTTTACTACTCCCTGATTCATGATTTTCGCATTGACCGTTTTACGTGCGCATCTACCATGTCTACATGCATAGAAATAAAAAAAATCGTCGGTGCGGGGCCAAAAATCGGTGCGCGCGTACTTGAGAATCAAAGATAATTTTTACCATGGTCTTATCCGGAGAAGAATCAGAGTAGCGGTAGTAGTTGAAGCAGTAATGCTACATTGTAGTAGCGGCAGCGTTCATTGCGTCGGCAAACTGCACTTTGCGGCAGTCTGCCGTCCTTCCCGATTCTCCACTCAGACCTGTAGGGATAGTGCGATACCTGCTCTGGCACGGGGATCGCAGTGACGGTAGAGTAACGTTCGACTTACATTTTTTGTTAGGTAACCAGATAATACGGGACCATCTGCCATAGTTGCGGCCGCTGGCTTCCGCTAATTCCGTCCTGTCTCCTATTTCAAAAACACACACAGCAACAAACCCAACGAAAACGTTCGAATGCCCTGGGCGAAACACAGGATGGTGCGAATGCTTCTGTGAGGTGTAGATCTACCTCGGTGGCGTAGCGTCTTGGTCCTTTCACCAACAGAATGATAATAACCTTCCCCACACACACACAATATTATGCGCACGCGCGTAGCTCTAGTTCGAGCAAGACTCCAATCTCCATGCCAAGCGATGATTGTCCCATCTGTGTTCTACGTGTGTGCGATCATTCTTGAGCAGGCATCATTTCCGTCGCTGTTCCGAGATGGGCAAAGGCGGCGGGGAGTGTAGCCTGCTCAGATCCTCGGCCTAAATTGAACGAGAAACCTGTAAAACTAGAACTACTTGACCAAACAACAATAGATCTACGAGGCTTCTCAGTGCCATGTCGGATTGCCTTGTAAGTTGTAGACAGTGTAAAAAAAATAAAAATAAAGTTAGCCGGATTCGCGGCCGCATCACCTGACGTGTTGAGAGTGTAGTGGGTTCGAAACCAGAGACAGTCAGGGATTAGCGTGCCTGTGGCTGTGGCTGTACTTGTACTTTGTAGAAATGCGAAGTGACTGAAGAGTGCATGGAAGCTCTGCGGCCGCGCGCGGGTATTGTGCACTAACATGGCGCATGGCGCTGTCCTACGCAAGTACTTGTACCTAGTACCTGTAGACCTACGTAGATCTACTGACGTAGCAAGTAGTCGTAGAGAAACGATTTGCCCACGCGGGTCAAAGTCATGTAGATCTACGAGTAGAGAAGTAACTAATTACTTCTCTAGAGCCCCGCGGGGCCGGTCTTGAACTTAGTTCAAGACCGGGCCCGCGGGGCTCTACCAACCGTGGATGGTTGTAGAACGGTCACTGTCTCCGAACACGGTTCCCTTCAGGCTTCACCTCCTTGCTACATGCTGTCAACCAACAACAATTCCCTACTTGCAGTCTTGGACTGTGAGGATGGAATGGACGTGTACATGTTGTGTGCAATCAGGGAGTAAGTAGACCACATACCGGTATTTTTTCACTACAGGGGGTCTACTCCCTGGGCATGGGCATACGTACACCCACCACGTAACCTTTCACCTCTCGTATAGTTAGTTACACGCCTCGCGCCCTCTAGTCTAGCTCTAGTCTAGCACGCGTAGACTCCGCACTCATGGTACACAGCCGGTTGAGTGTTGGTGGATTGCACATGTGCACAGCCACGGACAGTGCTACTGTTAGTGAGCGATGTCCTCTACAGCCTTAAAGGGGAAGTATACCCTAAAATCAAATTTTCACCAGTTGTAGTCTTCGGGGTGCTGAGTCGAATGGTCTTGGTCCGAGGAAGCTGAGACGCTCCCTTCCTACTTGAATCCCAATCGAACTCGCGCACTTCCACCGAAACTGGGTGACTGCGCCCTACTAGATGGGGATTTGTATGCAAAATGTCACTAAAAGCGCCATTTCGTTCTTATAAAAGCACGGATGACCGCGATTGGCCCATATGTTGTAGTCTTTTGGACGCTGAGTCGACTGGTTTTGGTCCGAAAAGGCTGCAATGCAGCGTTCCTCCTTTATTCCCAATCGAACATGGTTGAAGAAGCGGTCACGTGCTCCTGCGTACACCAGTCACCTGGTCACCGTGCCTGCAGGGTACAACTTACTAGCCTGTTTGACCTTTTTTGGGGGCTAGCCGGCAGTCCTATCACTCGAGTTGAACTCGAGTTGAACCTTGGTGTGAAAGTTGTCGCCTGCTGGCGCGGTCACCAGGTGATTTGGGCACCCAGGAGCACGTGACCACTTGTTCAACCACGTTCGATTGGGAATAAAGGAGGAACGCTGCATCGCAGCCTTTTCGGACCAAAACCAGTCGACTCAGCGTCCAAAAGACTACAACATATGGGCCAATCGCGGTCATCCGTGCTTTTATAAGAACGAAATGGCGCTTTTAGTGACATTTTGCATACAAATCCCCATCTCGTAGGGCGCAGTCACCCAGTTTCGGTGGAAGTGCGCGAGTTCGATTGGGATTCAAGTAGGAAGGGAGCGTCTCAGCTTCCTCGGACCAAGACCATTCGACTCAGCACCCCGAAGACTACAACTGGTGAAAATTTGATTTTAGGGTATACTTCCCCTTTAAAGGGGAAGTATACCCTAAAATCAAATTTTCACCAGTTGTAGTCTTCGGGGTGCTGAGTCGAATGGTTTTGGTCCGAAAAGGCTGCGATGCAGCGTTCCTCCTTTATTCCCAATCGAACATGGTTGAAGAAGCGGTCACGTGCTCCTGGGTGCCCAAATCACCTGGTCACCGCGCCAGCAGGCGACAACTTTCACACCAAGGTTCAACTCGAGTTCAACTCGAGTGACAGGACTGCACCCAAAACAGGTCAAACAGGCTAGTAAGTTGTACCCTGCAGGCACGGTGACCAGGTGACTGGTGTACGCAGGAGCACGTGACCGCTTGTTCAACCATGTTCGATTGGGAATAAAGGGGGAACGCTGCATCGCAGCCTTTTCGGACCAAAACCAGTCGACTCAGCGTCCAAAAGACTACAACATATGGGCCAATCGCGGTCATCCGTACTTTTATAAGAACGAAATGGCGCTTTTAGTGACATTTTGCATACAAATCCCCATCTAGTAGGGCGCAGTCACCCAGTTTCGGTGGAAGTGCGCGAGTTCGATTGGGATTCAAGTAGGAAGGGAGCGTCTCAGCTTCCTCGGACCAAGACCATTCGACTCAGCACCCCGAAGACTACAACTGGTGAAATTTTAATTTTTGCCTTAACTTCCCCTTTAACACTTTACAGGGTCAACAAGGCGTTAGCTCAGCACCTGCTGTGTGCGTGTGTGTGTGCACCATGGACAATGCCGGTGTAGATCTACCGTGTACTGTAAAGAATGCTGGTTGTACTGTGGGCGCGCGTGTCTGTGCGTGAGAGAGTGAGACAGAAAGGCAAACACGCACATATACTATACGCATGCACGCACAGACAGATATACATGCACTATGAGAGAGAGAGAGAGAGAGAGAGAGAGAGAGAGAGAGAGAGAGAGAGAGAGAGAGAGAGAGAGAGAGACATAGAGAGAACATAGAGAGAGAGAAGAGAGAGAGAGAGAGAGAGAGAGAGAGAGAGAGAGAGAGAGATAGAGAGAGAGAAGAGAGAGAGAGAGAGAGAGAGAGAGAGAGAGAGAGAGAGAGAGAGAGAGAGAGAGAGAGAGAGAGAGAGAGAGATAGAGAGAGAGAGAGAGAGATAGATAGAGAGAGAGAGAGAGAGAGAGAGAGAGAGAGAGAGAGAGAGAGAGAGAGAGAGACAGAGAGAGAGGAGAGAGAGAGAGATAGAGAGAGAGAGAGAGAGAGAGATAGATAGAGAGAGAGAGAGAGAGAGAGAGAGAGAGAGAGAGGAGAGAGAGAGAGAGAGAGAGAGAGAGAGAGAGAGAGAGAGAGAGAGAGAGAGAGAGAGAGAGAGAGAGAGAGAGAGAGAGAGAGAGAGAGAGAGAGAGAGAGAGAGAGAGAGAGAGAGAGAGAGAGAGAGAGAGAGAGAGAGAGAGAGAGACAGAGAGAGACAGAGAGACAGAGAGAGAGACAGAGAGAGAGACAGAGAGAGAGACAGAAGAGAGAGAGAGGAGAGAGAGAGAGAGAGAGAGAGAGAGAGAGAGGGAGAGAGAGAGAGAGACAGAGAGACAGAGAGAGAGACAGAGGGAGAGAGAGAGAGAGAGAGAGAGAGAGAGAGAGAGAGAGAGAGAGAGAGATGGACTGGTGCTTTAAAATGAACACATTGCCATGTACTGGTGTTGACAGTAATGCTGACTTCCGTAAATGTGCAGTGTACTGTAGATCTACATGTACAGCAGACCTAGAAATAGTAGAATGGTTAAAAACCTAGCACATGATGATTGCATACTGTCGGGTTTTTAGAAGGTCAGACAGTACTCGGTACTCGGTAGCCTCTTGTACGGGCAAAATTAACCAGCAAAGCAGCAGCTGTTCACATTTGCCAAGTGGTCCGAAACGGAGGTCTCATGCAATTATAAATCGTAGAATACTGTAGGTCCACGGGTCTTGGTATAAACATAATACATGTCCATGTGACGACTGGTTCGATCTCGACTACACAGCCTTGTCGCCGATTTGACTGGACTCAGTGACTGACGCGCCACCCAGACTAGCCGGTCCAGAGCACACCAGAATCCCATCGTAACCCCCGGCTTGGCAAGTCAAGAAGAAAACACTTGCGATCGACCCGAGAGGTCTAGGGTTCAACTAACAGTTACTTCAAGCCCTGCAGTCGCGCATCTGACGCAGCTAGCTCACCAGATCAAGGTGTGGATCCTCTTCACTCAGTGGAGTCAAGTCTAGCGAGCTGTAACTCCCAATGCACAGGTGACGAAAGGCGGACTCATGCCCCGACATGGCTACTTCCCCTTGTCTAACCTCCAAGACGAAAAAAAGTCTAGCAGGCGACTGGTGGACATTAATAATAATAAGAAGGAGAAAGCATCGCTTCGGTCCTTTACCTAGTACCTACTCAATATGAAGAGAAAGCAAAACAAAGACAAAACAAAAACAACAATGGTTAAAGTCCTTTCAAGACCCGGTCAGTCAAGCACCAGTCGCGAGTCAGTCAAGTGTCGGCAAGAAACGCGAGCTCTGGCGGAACGGAACGCTCGTAGCAGCCACCTTCTTTCAACTTTTAAGTTAATTAAAGCTAAGGGATAAAACAGGAGATAGTAGGGTACACAATTTCTGCCCACACAGTCTTCCAGCTACTGCAGACCAGATCTTGAGCAACCAGAGGTTCACAATTTAGCACAACACAGACAGGGGGTACTGAGACATCCCACAGCATGACAACAAAGGTACATACCTCCCCCCCCCCGTATTCTTGATGACACTAATACGTTCAAGTTCAGTTCCATAGCGCTAGCCAAGAACCTTCCAACCTGGACAGTTGAAGGTTGTGAGCGATACCACCAATGGCGAAGATCATGCATGCCCGGTGGAACCGGTACGGTTGGTCAGGCCCTACCCTGGCCGGATCGCGGACTGACCTTTTGGCCACAAACACGTTAGGTGGTCATGTGGACCTGCCACATCATGCACAAGGTGCTAGCTATGGTATGGCCGGAACAATCCAAAACTGCTTCCGCCGGTACTGAGATGCGTGCCATCAACGCAACTAGAACTTACTACACAATGTAGATGTAGGTCTGCATAATCATTCCATGGTTCCACAGTGCAAGTGGCTGATGAGTGATGACGGACTTGTGTACGTAGCCGGCGTTCCCACTACATACATACATACATACATACATACATACATACATACATACATTTCTGCTGGAATCACAACAGTGTACATACATACATACATACATACATACATACATTTCACGGTTCGCTTGAGACTCGGCTGGAAGCCGAGTTTTCCGCATCCGTAGGAACGCCACCACCCTCTAGGATCAAGGCGCAGATGCAGCGCCTAAACGGTGGGAGGTGAGTAGATCAGACCCACCACAAAGTGGTCAAACAGACCGAAATCCCATTAGCTGCATCCATCCCACTAAATAAGTATTAGTTAAATTCCTTTCAAGACCCGGTCAGTCTGGTATGACTGCATTACACACACCTCCATTGCTGTTATTGGCGTGTGGCTGCCTGTAGAGTGTAGATCTAGAAGGCTAGACTAGCAACTCATAGAGTGTTACTTTAGAGAGGGTGGTTGCGCTGTACAAGACCCGTGGATTTACCGCCTTCAGTTTGCCATGGTGGTGTAGATCTACGATGACGCAAATGGGACTCGGAATGCCAATGCTCAGTAGGAACTACAGTGCTGGCAACTTGAACTGAAATCCGACCCCCCCCCCCCCCCCCCCCTGAGCAGTGCGCTCACATCGCAAAGACCCGAAATAGAGGCCGCTAGAAAGTGAACGCGCCGGGGGTCCGATTTCAGTTGCGAGCACTGTAGGTGTCTCACCAGACAAGTAGTAGTACAGACTCAGTAGGTCTACGGAGCATAACCTGTTTTGAAGATAACAGCAGCTTTAGCTTGAAGCTTTTCAAGGCGGAGGGCAGACTGTGTTGAGAACAGTAGACAAACGCGCGTTTGGTTTTAGCGAATTCAAATATAGAAAACAACAACAACAACAACAACAACAACAACAACAACAACAACAACAACAACAACAACAACAACAACAACAACAACAACAACAACAACAACAACAACAACAACAACAACAACAACAACAACAACAACAACAACAACAACAACAACAACAACAACAACAACAACAACAACAACAACAACAACAACAACAACAACAACAACAACAACAACAACAACAACAACAACAACAACAACAACAACAACAACAACAACAACAACAACAACAACAACAACAACAACAACAACAACAACAACAACAACAACAACAACAACAACAACAACAACAACAACAACAACAACAACAACAACAACAACAACAACAACAACAACAACAACAACAACAACAACAACAACAACAACAACAACAACAACAACAACAACAACAACAACAACAACAACAACAACAACAACAACAACAACAACAACAACAACAACAACAACAACAACAACAACAACAACAACAACAACAACAACAACAACAACAACAACAACATCAACAAGGAAGCGAGTGGAAGTGCAGGGTCTACGAGCAGAAATCAAGCAGACTATGCCTTGTACTCGAGGTTCTAGGATGAACGATGGAAACTGCATGGTCCGTCGCACCCACTCTCCCGATTCTCGATATCACCTGTACCAGTCACGTGTGCTAGACTAGGGTGTATCAGAAAGTGATATACATCCACGGCACAGGCTTCACGAGCACACTTGCTACTTTAATCGCAAAGGACTCAGCAGTTACTCATTCACTCTAAGCATTGGTGGACTCCACTGCAGCCATTCACACATGATTTTACTCTAACAAACACGCACATACGGTCTACGTCCAGTCCCTCTGCTGAATAAGAAAGTCTCTCTAGGTTTTAAATAAGGATTGGGAGAACTTCAAATTTCAAAGGGTCATTCGGGAAGTAAACTCCTTGAAAAGAGAAGAAAATTGCAGACCCACCAGGACTCGAATTCTCTCTAGATTGAATAGTCAATGTGGAGATAACATTGCTACTTTGTTGTTTGACATGAGCGCGAGTTTAAATTTGTTCGTAGCTGTCTCTCTAGATTCACCATGTTTTTGGGGTGTGGCCCGTCCGCAGGCCAGTGAAACAGCATAACCAAAGATTGCTGGTGCATTCACTAGGAGTGGGGCAGTTAGTGCAGTTGGATCCCGGGACGGATACTTTGATGCCGTCAATCCTTTTTCCGCACCCTGTCCTCACCCACTCACTAAATGCGGCTTGCTGAACGTACCCCATAAATGGGGGTGATTTCCAAATCCACCCAGGGGATTGTAGGGGATGGCGGGTGTTGGGTGCTTCAGTAGCTATTCCGATATTCAGTTTTCAATCTACCAGCCCTCTAGTACAGCCCTCTAGCAGCTCTACTCTGGCGATCACCCGGCGAGACTTGCTTGTATTGATGGGCTTGCGGGGCAGTGAGCAAGAACAAAACACACACATACGAGTACAAGTACGAGTGATGAAAACCAGGGAGTAGTAAAATACATTTTTACTTCTCCCTGATGGAAACAAGTCCGACCGAGTGCGGTTGTTTGAGCTGAGCTCTTTCACGTTTTCCCTTCTAGCACGTTACGTACTAAGATGGGAGGCCCGGACTCTCCTACTGAGCGCTGTGTCTCATTCGCCAAGTGGCTATCTGTTGGAAATCGGTGGCTCAATGATGTGATCTACAGTCAGTCAGTGCATGCAGTACAGAGCTAGACTCAGCCTAGACTAGAGTGCTCGTCGACTCCAATCACTAGTAAATTACACATAACGAGTCTAGATCAGTACAGTGTAACGACGGGTTACGTGTATCGACGATCACTGCACTGCGGATGGCGAAGTAGAGTCGCAGGAATTCCGGCCACGAGAACTACTACTGCAGTGCTGCTACTAGCAGAACGCGACGAAAAATATCTGCGCTCTCGGTGCAGACCACAGGATTCCAACAAAATGTTTTCGTGTAGTCGAAAGCCCTCCTTTTTTCTATCCGCCCAAGCTGACATGTGAAGGCGAAGAAAGTCTTGATTAGCTCTTGGCACAAGGTGAGGCGTGGATTTTGTGGCGCTATAATTATTGCCACGGTTAGCATGGTTAGTGATATGCTGTGGACGTAGGTACTGTTAGTTGGGGTGTCTCTTGCATGTACAGTGCGATGAAACTAACACTTCTGTAGAAGTCGTGTTACTTGCCACAACGGGCCATGGCGACATGTATGGTGCTGTTCAAAAGTAGCACTGGTTTCCGCTAAAACACGCAATCTATCGAGAGTACATAACCCCGTGCACTCGCGAATCCTTTCTAAGCATATGCGATGACCTCTTTTGTCTAACCCCTGCCCTGGCCTGTTCTAACTAACTTACTTGTTGCAGGTTCTCAAAAATATTAGATCTTGCTTGCTTCCTATCAAGTATCATAGCCCACAGAATGGTGTGTCCGGAGTGCCTTTGACTGAACTCTGAAGTCGAAGTGCCTCTAGCTCTGTTACTGTGCGTGTAAGTATTTGCTGCACAGCGGTTTCGCTTAGTTCTTCTTCTTGAACATCGCTTTGTGCTTCTGCTTTGCTTTAGCTGACTGAACACGTCTAGCTCGACCGACTCCAGCCTGAGGGCGCAGACCAGTTGTGCGTGCCTGCGTTCGTTTTCAACATGGCGTCGACGAACGATCCAGCCTTCACCGGCTACCTCACAAAACAGGTAGGAAAACCGTCGTTCAATTCCTGTCGTCGGCAAGGGATCCGGCCGCCCGACTTCACGATCAGTGAGCGGGCGGCGGTGACGACTGTTTGGTCAATAGCCGGATCAGTAGAACGGGCTTTTCCGTTCGCTTCTGATTTTGCTGATGTTCGTCTTACTGGTGTGTCTAACGTAGGGCAGGCAAGCCAAATAATTCTAGGTTTCTGGTCTGGCGGTCCGATCGGCTTGATCTGATCGATAAACGTGCGCAACTTGACCGCCATACCACCACCACCGTTGGAAAAGAGCAGCCATGTTCACAAGTACAGGAAGGCCAAGATTCTCAGAAGGCTTCAATGTAACATCATCTGGGACTCTCTTGGATGAGAACATTACGCACGGGGCGAGTTGTGGGAGTTGGATAGAGTGAGGAAACTCAGGAAAGAGAGAGAGCTCAACACACCTGTCCTGGATGCAGAGCCCTGTACACATCGAAGAAAAAAATGGGCAAAACAGTTGTCTTGCTGGAACCGTTGAGTTTCAAACACATCGAAACGACGCAGAGATAGCCAAGTGCTGTCTGAGCAGTGCTACTGTCTGAGCAGTGCTACTGCCTGAGCAGTGCTACTGTCTGAGCAGTGCTACTGCCTGAGCAGTGCTACTGCCTGAGCAGTGCTACTGCCTGAGCAGTGCTACTGTCTGAGCAGTGCTACTGTCTGAGCAGTGCTACTGTCTGAGCAGTGCTACTGTCTGAGCAGTGCTACTGTGTGAGCAGTGCTACTGTCTGAGCAGTGCTACTGTGCCCGTCTAAACAGTGCTGGATGACAATCAGTGACGAATTCATCAAATCCTGTCATAGCAATGCAGCTTTGTTTGCCCTTCCCTCTAGTCTAGGAGCCGGTGACATGAATCTGTTTCCTATTCCAGGGTGAAGTCCTGAGAATACTACAGTGCCCCTCAATGAAACCCGATAGTATTGTATGTATTGTATTGTATTTATTTAAAAGGATTCTCCAAAAGCAAATGGATGCTTATCACGGAAGTCTCCCACATAAATATCGCAAGAAAAATGGGGAAATGGGGAGAGGAGAGTGGAAGATGAAGCATGGGAAGAAGGGAAACAAGTACCTAAATATCGAGGTATAAAAGCAGGAAAGAAATCGACGAGGGAAGAAATCACCTCTGCAGATAATAGCGGGACATTTAGATGAAAAAAACCCAGCAAGGATTAATTTCAAGGAAAAAAAATTTCTCAAACGGAAAAGTTCGGAATTCCAGTCAGAGAATATCTATGCTGAGAGTAATGAGCCTTTAGAGCAATGCGAAAATTGACAGAGGACTGAACGCAGCGGATGTGTTCTGGAAGTTTGTTCCATTCCACAGATAAACTGAAGAGAGGGGATTTAAGGAAATGGGCGCCAGAACGAGGTAAAACTATAGAGGACGGGTGACGACAACTAAGGGATACATTGAATTTGAAACGAATTAGCAAAGACGGAAACTGGTAAAACACATGATGAAAATACAGCAAGGACAGAATCTGACGACGCCACTTCAGGGATGACCAGTCACAAGTACGATTAAGAATCTGCTTCGGGGTTTCCCACTCAGGAGGGTGCCGGGTCTTACAAAGCAGATATGAACGAGCAGCAACGGCTTGCAGTCGGTCTAACGTAAGCGAATCTGAATGGGATACGGCGAATGACCAGACAGGGACTGCGTATTCTAACAGTGGTCGTACGTAACACTTGTAGAGCAAATTCACGGTTGAAGCAGAAAGGAAATGGGCCATATGGCGCAACAGAAAAACACGACTGCGAAACTTATGGGTGATAGATTTTATATGGTCAGAAAAATTTAGTGAAGGAGTGATAGTCACGCCGAGATGACAGTGGCTATCTCCTTTCTGAATAGGCACACCGTTCATTGTCAAGGGGGATGACGGGCCGGGGGCTAATGCATATTTTTGAAAGGGTAGGTGGACGCATTTACTGGTGTTAAACGTCATGGCAGTAGCTGATAGTCTGTCCCTGCGGGAATTTGCGGAAAAAATCCTCGAAAACTTGCGCAAGAAATTGCGGCAGAAAACAACAAAAAATGCGGTGAAAAGTGCGGAACTTGCCAGAAACTCGCGGAATTATTGGCAGATAATTGCGGATTTGGGCCAAATCACAACATTTGTTGCATCCTTAGAATCGCTATTTGCGTACTGTGCAAATAACCTACGTACAGAATCATGGAAAGCACTATATTGCACTACTACTGCGTGAAAAGTGCATAGAAATGTCCGTAAAAACAGGTACAGAGAATAACAAAAAATGCGGGAAATCGCGGATTTTTCAGAAAATCGCGGGTTTTGGCCAAAATCGCGAAATTTGTTGCATCCGTGGAATCGGAATTTCCTGGAGGGACAGGATAGTGTGAGTCAGCTGTGCACCATGCTGCACCAGTGAGCATCCCACTGCTCCCCGGTCTACGGCTGCGCAGCACTCATGCATACTTGACTCACGCAATCGGCCAGTGTGATGTCATTGAGCGGGACTGTATATATTATGTTGTTCTGTTATAGGCTATTCATACTACGTTACAATACGCGCCACGTTTTGGAATACGACGTGCTGGCAGACGTAGTTTTCATGCAGGTGCATTCACACAGGCCAGCACGCGCTGCTCGTACAGCTGTGTGTACAGCTTCTTTTGGACACAAACTGCTGGGAACGACAGAACGAAACTCGGTACAGGGGTCTGGATAAGTCGTCTACGTTTTCGTATCAGGGGTACGATTTTCCCGCCACGTTCCATGTTGTCATGGCTATCCGGACGAAAACGTCACGTTCTGGGCGTAGTGTGAATGGCCCATTATCTTGCATGAATAAGGACAAAGGAAACTAATAAAACTACAAGGATAAGTGTTGGTACAAAAGAAGGCAGTACAGAGACGGGGATCCCGAGAGTGTCCAGATGCATACGCATAGAATCCTAGTTAGGTAATACACGGATATGTGCAAGGCACGCATAAGGAGCGTAGTGCGTGCAGGGCACAACAAGAATGCATATGAGCCGTCAGATGAGAAAACAGACCTTATCACAAAAAAGTCATATTTTATATATATATATATATAATAAGACATGTGAGTTACATACATAGAACACAGTAGATGCAGCACAGAGCAGGGGAGCATCATACATGGACAGGGCAGTCCATAAGAGTACATGCATAAATACAGTAGTGCATACACAATATCTGCCCCTTCAGCGAGCGAGGGAGAAAAAGAAGCGAGAAGACAAAACTATACAAACAGCCTGGATGGAAGACAAGAGAGTGAAATAGAGAGAGTCGACAGACTTGGACAGATAGAATATAGAAGGAAGACAGATACAGATACTGAGAGTTAACAGATACTGAGAGCGACAAGAAACAGTCACTGTCAAGCATTAGGATGCTTTCGCAGGTGGTGGCGGTTGCGTCGAACAACAGCTCCGGACTGCGTTCGGATGACGAGTGACCTCGGCTCTGGAGCAACTGCGATCACTGTTCCCTTCTCCTTCGAGGGGCCGGCGGCAGACGTGACAGTGTCACCCGGTACCAGAGGAGGGAGGTCACGAGTGCCATGCCGGAGGTCGTATTGCCGGGTAGACTTGGCTTTCTGCTGTGCATCAGCAGCTTGAAATGCGTCGTGGTTGACAGCATCAGGCAGAAGTTGCGATGGCAGCTGAGGGAGCGGGGTTTTGACTTTGCGTCCCATCAGCAATTCGGCAAGACGATAGTGACAGTGTAGCAAGGCATTAGCTCTATAGGCAAGTAGAGCACCATACCCACTGCCTCGTGGTGGCGTTCTTCTTGAGCATGTCCTTGACGGTACGGACCATGCGCTCGGCTTCTCCATTACTCTGCGGGTAATGTGGACTGCTGGTGACGTGCTGGAAATTGAGTTGACGGCTGAACGTGCGGAACTCCTCCGAAGCAAATTGCGGGCCATTGTCGGAGTGAACAACGGCAGGAACACCATGGCGGCTGAAAAGCGAGTGGAGTGTGTCCACGAGTTTATTAGCGGTGGTAGACAACATGGTGATGACCTCAGGGTAACGAGAGTAGTAATCGACCACGACCAATCAGCTGGTGCGATTATGCTGGAAGAAATCCACACCAAGGGCCGTTCAGGAGTGGCGATGGCCATGAGCGGCTCAACTGGCTGCAGACGATGGCAACCAACTTAGAGATTGCTGTTGCGAGGCCTGGCCACCAAACAGAACTGCATCGTACTTCGCCTTGGTGACCGGTGTGGATCAGCGCTAACATATCACTGTGCAATGCTGGCGGAATGTATATACGCTGACCTCGTAGGATGATGCCCGAGGTGATGGTGAGCTCATGTCGTAGCGGCCAGAATACTCTTATGTCTGGTGAGAGTGTCTTGGATGATGCAGGCCAACCATCGGTGATGAGCGTTAGCAGCTGCTGACACACTGAATCGGCAGCTTGTGCTTCGCCAATCGAAGCCAGTGATGCGTCCAGCTGCTCGACCGTGGAAAGCGTGACCTGGGCATACGCTTCCGCGTCTTCCTGGAGCTCAGTGTCCGCAGCTGGGCGACTGGCGGAACACAGTTCTGGAGCCCGTGACAAGGCGTCGGCGGAATAAAGATATTTGCCAGGCACATGAATAACATCATAGGCAAACCTGGCCATGCGCAGACGAAAGCATAGGATTCGAGCTGGCATGGAGTACAGCAGCTTCGTATTGAAGAGTGGGACCAACGGCTTGTGGTCCGTCTCGATGCTGAATACCGGCAAACCAAGAAATTAGTGAGAGAAGCGCTCGCAACCCCACGTTAGTGCGAGAGCCTCCTTCTCAATCTGTGCATAATTCAGCTCGGCCGGTGACCGTGAACGAGAGGCACACGCGACCGGCTGCCAGTCGGCTGCTTGTGATCGGCGCTGGAAGAGAACAGCTCCAATGCCGTAGGCAGACGCATCAGCAGAGACCTTCGTATCATATCGGGTAGCATACGGGAGTAGCGCTGGGGCTAGTGAGAGATCCGTGACGATGCCTTCAAATGCACTCTGCTGGGGTGAGTCCCAGACCCAAGACGATTTCTTGGACAGAAGCACGCGCAATGGTTCAGTCAGCTCTGCGACCCTTGGCGAAAACTTGCCTAGTTGAATGACCATGCCGAGGAAGCGACGGAGTGATGACACACACTTAGGTACTGGAAAGTTCGCTAGCCCAGCAACCTTTCCAGGGTCCTGCGTGATGAGGCCATTTTGGATACGGACACCGAGGAACGAAAGCGAGAATCCGTGGAGAACTGGCACTTGCGCGGGTTCAGTGTCATGCCAGCATCTGAGATCCGTTGCAGGGCAATGCGGAGACGTTCGTCGTGCTCAGCTTGGTCCGTACCACCAACTAGAGCATCGTCTATCATGCTGGCCACGCCGGGTATGTCCTGAAGAATGGTACTCATGCGGCGCTGAAACACTTCTGGCGCGGACGAAATACCAAACGGCAGTTTAGTAAAAGCAAACCGGCCGAATGGTGAGATGAATGTTGTCAGGGACTGGGATGCTTCACTGAGTGGGGTTTGCCAAAACCCAGAGTTGGTATCTAACTTGGTTAACACTGTTGAACACTCCAGTTGGGCCAGCGTTTCGTCGACGGTCGGGAGTTGATGTAATTCCCGACGGATGAAAGCGTTGAGAGGCTTATAATCCACACAGTTGCGCACGGACTTATCCGGCTTCGGCATTACAACCATGGCATGGCACCAGTCAGTGGGATCAGACACGGGCTTAATTATTCCCATAGACTCCATGCGCTGTAACTCTTGGTGTACCTTGGCCCTCAGTGGCAGAGAGACATTGCGCGGTGAGTATATACTAGTAGGACGGGCATTGTTGGTCAGAGCAATGTGATATTCATCTGCCATGCTCCCTAGGCCGGAAAAGAGATGTGGAAACTCAAGCAGAACCCAATCAGGCATAGTGCTAGAGAGCTCATCCGGGAGACGATTTGAAGATTGCTCATTAGAGGACTCCTGCGGCACCCCACAGGGGGGTGAACGGAGAAGTCAGACGAAACTGGCAGCATTGGTGCTGTGTCAGGATCGGTTTGTGGCTGCGTAGGTTCGGATGTGTCAAAGAGACGCTTCACCAGTCCTAGGCGTTCAGACTCCCGGCAACTGAGAAGGCTGTGGCGCAAGCCCTGTGCAATGTAAACTGGCGCTGTCACTGGTGGCTGGCCGGGGCGCGTAAGTGTGGCTGAAAACTGACCGAGCATTCTTAGCTGGTCATTCGTAGCGCTGAACAATCCACTATGGCACGGTGTCAACGGTGGTCAATCCGTCATGCACTCATAGATTGCGCTAGAAATTACTGTGACCTCCGCGCCAGTGTCCACTTAGAAGCGGACCGAGGAGTCATTAACGTTCACATCCACGTACCATGCTTTGGCTGAGGATGAAACGGCACCCAGGAACAGAGGAGCCACGTCCAAAGCAGACAGTGTAGAGGCAGACACCAAAGCAGGCGGTGTACACTCTGGTGGCTCATCCAAGTGGTCGCACTGGTCAACCCTGCCTGTGCGGCGCTTAGTGGTACGACATACTTTGGCATAATGGCCTGTTTTGCCGCATGCAGAGCACGACTTCTCCCTGGCTGGACATATCGAACGTGTGTGTGATGTGGACCACCACAGAAGTCACAGGTACAGGCTGGTTGGGCAGATCGGGGTTTGCCATACCCAGAAGAAACTGCTGAGACGCCTTGGACTGGTGGAGGGCGAGCACTGACGTAGGTATCCACTAGCTTGGCTGTGTCCAAGACAGATTTATCCTCGTGCTCCACCATGAAGGTACGTGCGTCCTATGACAATGTAGCGATGAGCTGCTCTCGTACCAGAACGTCAGCAGCCATCCATTTATTGAAAATATCGGTCAGACCCGTAGCCAAATCCACGTATGAGGTACTCTCACCTAGAGTGTCGGAACGAAACCTTTTCCTATAGTGCTTCGCACCGACATGAAACCGGCGAAGCACGGCAGTACGGACGAGAGCAAAGTCTGTGGTGTCGTTTGCTGACATCGCATTGTATGCTGCCAAAGCCTTGCCAGTGAGGTGAGGAGCTATGGCTAGCGCGAAGAGATTTGGTGCGATCCCATGACCAGTGAGGACACGGTCGGCCATGGTGAACCAGGCGTCAGCATCGTCTGAATCAATCAGGGAACGAAATTTTGGCAGCGGCGGCGTGCGCGCCAAAGCCTGCGCTGGCACGGCTTGAACCAGGCCCGAGACCGTTGCCGTGATCTGCTGCAGAAGCTGCGCAGTGGAGGCAGACTGGGCGGCAGTGGTTAGTTCATGGGCTTGCTGTTTTTGCTGCAGAGTCGTCAACAGTGGAGCCATTACGTCGCATGTCGAAAGCTCAGAGCTAGTAGTGGAGGCCGCGTCCGAGCTCATCCGATTGTTTGCAGAACTCCGCACCTGGAGAGACTATTCGGGACTAATGGACTAAAGGACTGATAGCGAGATGCTGCAATTATAGTGCTACCTATGTGTTATGCAGGAGTAGCTGACACCAGCCAAGTTGGTCGTCAGCCATTTCTACCACTCTCGGGTAAACCCTCACTCGCACACTTTCTCAATACTCTAAGCATTTAAAAAACATCTCGTTAGCCCACCCATCACCTCTGGCCCGGGAGGAGATTTCCATTTGCGCTCTGCTATGAGCGATGCCATGCGCAATGCCAAGGGGGACTGGTTTCATGAAGCAGCGTATAGGAAGTCTGCATGGAAGACGGTGTGGATGGGCATCCGGGATTTACCGACTGCTCAACGTTGACTAATGCCTCACAATTTTCATCTATTGAAGCGCGGCAGAACAGTAGTCTGAGCATTTCGAGGCTCTACTGAGCATCCCAAACAGCTTTCTTCTATTCGGTACTCACTTGGTTCAGCACCTCTGAAGAGGTGAAGAGCTGCCTTCGCTACCATACCAACCGAAAAGCTGTTGGAAATTCGGGATCTTTACCACAAATGATCAAATACATTTGCAACAGTGAACTCTCCTGTGTCCACCTGTTTTGAACTAAAAGTTTGTAAAGGTGTCAACCCTCAAGGCTGAATGAATGCTGAGATCTCACTAGGCTTGTGTGCTGTTTCGTGGATTGTGCTGCTGAAGCTGAGAGTCCCGGAACCCCTGAGCTCATCAGCCTGCTGTGACCAATTCCCGAGACATGGCAGTGACTAGCATCGTGAACGCTATTTCCATCGTCAGTGTGCCTGTCGAGACAGAGTTGCTGTACATGGTTGCTCTCCCTGTTTTGCTGATGCTCCAGTTTCTGAGACAGCTGAACCTGGCCCACTGATTGCCGCCTATGGCAGTTCCACTGCTACATATGTGACCGCTGTACCCCGAGAAAAGCGGAACATTGTCGGTACAACTGCAAATATTCAGCTCAGACTTCATCTGCCAAACAGCCCCACACCCAACCTGTCCTCGGAAGCTCACCCTTCACCAGTACCATTGCCCAACACGAATGCAGCATGATTCTCTGCCCTCTTTGCCTTCGAGGCACTGCATCACCTTTAGAAGGCATATTTAAGTGTGCGTATATGTGTGTGTGTGTCTGTGTGTATGTGCGTGTGTGAGAATACACAGCTTGCGTCAAACTACCAGATGCTTTGGATGCTTTACCAATGCGGGCCTGTACGTCCTGGGAAGATAAACCATCGCGGTGCG